GGACTGGAAAAGGTCAGCTTTCATTCAATCCCAAAGAAGGGTAATGCCAAAGCATGTTCTAACTACCACACAACTGCACTTATTTCACATATTAGCAAGGTAAAGCTCAAATTCCTTCAAGCCAGGCTCAACAGTATGTAAACAAAGGACTTCCAGATGTACAAGTTGGATTTAGAAAAGGCAGAGGAAGCACAGATCAAATTGCCAATATCTGCTGGATCATAGAAAAAGCAAGAGAATTACAGAAAAACATCTACTTCTGTTTCATTGACTACACTAATGCCTTCAACTGTGTGGATCACAACAAACTGTGGAAAATTCTTCAAGAGATAGGAATACCAGACCACCTTACCTGCCTCCTGAGAAACCTACATGCAGGTCAAGAAGTACCAGTCAGAAGTGGACATGGAACAACGAACAGGTTCAAAACGGGGAAAGGAGTAAGTCAAGACTGTATAGTGTCACCCTGCTTATTTATCTTCTATGCAGAGTTCTATTAACTTCTGTTGAGCGGCTCAGTCATGTCTGACTGAGAGCCCATGGACTGCCTCACAGCAGGTTTCCCTGTCCTTCACCATCTCCTGGAGCTTGCTCAAACTCATGTCCATTGAGTCAGTGATGCCATCCAATTATCTCATCCTCTGTCGTCCCCTTCTCCTCCTGCCTTCAATCTTTTCTAGCATCAGGGTCTTTTCTAATGAGTCGGCTCTTTGCATCAGGTGGCCAAAGTATTGGAACTTCAGCTTCAGCATCAGTCTTTCTAATGAATATTCAGGGTTGACTTCCTTCAGGATTGACTGGTTTGATCTCCTTGCAGTCCAAGGGACTCTCAAGAGTCTTTTCCAACACCACAGATCAAAAGCATCAATTCTTCAGCATTCAGGGTTTTTTTATGGTCCAACTCTCCCATCCATACATGACTACTGGGAAAACCATAGCTTTGACTATATGGACCTTTGTTGGCAAAGTAATGTCTCTGTTTTTTAATCCGCTGTCTAGACTTGTCATAGCTTTTCTTCCAAGAAGCAAGCGTCTTTTAATTTCATGGCTGCAGTCACCATCTGCTGTGATTCTAGAGCTAAAGAAAATAAAGTCTATCACTGTTTCCCCATTTATTTGCCATGAAGTGATGGAACTGGATGCCAAGATCTTTGTTTTTTGAATGATGAGTTTTAAGGTACCTTTTCCATTCTCCTCTTTCACCTCATCACCTTCGTTTTCTGCCTTAAGGGTGGTGTCATCTGCACATCTGAGGTTGTTGATAATTCTTAATTGTCTTGATTCCAGCTTGTGCTTCATCCAGCCTGGCATTTTGTAAGATGTACTCTACATATTGAAAAAGCTGGTTTAAAACTCAACATTCAAAAAACTAAGATCTCGGCATCAAGTCCCAACACTTCATGGCAAACAGATGGGGAAACAATGGAAACAGTGACAGAGTTTTTCTCGGGCTCCAAAATCACTGCAGATGATGACTGCAGCCATGAAATTATAAGATGCTTACTCCTTGGAAGAAAAAGTATGACAAACCTAGACAGCGTATTAAGAAACAGAGATATTACTTTGCTAACAAAGATCTTTATAGTCAAAGCTATGGTTTTTCCAGTAGTCATGTGTGGATGTGACAGTCGAACCATAAAGAAGGTTGAGCACCAAAGAACTGATGCTTTTGAAGACTCCTGAGAATCCCTTGGACTGCAAGGAGATCAAACCAGTCAATCCTGAAGGAAGTCAACCCTGAATATTCATTGGAAGGATTGATGCTGAAGTTCCAATACTTTGGCCACCTGTTGAAGAGCCAATTCATTAGAAAAGACCCTGATGCTGGGAAAGACTGAAGGCAGGAGGAGAAGGGGACGACAGAGGATGAGATAATTGGATGGCATCACTGACTCAATGGACATGAGTGAGCAAGCTCCAGGAGATGGTGAAGGATAGGGAAGCCTGGCTTGCTGCAGTCCATGGGGGTTGCAAAGAGCAGGACGTGACTGAGTGACTGAATGATGAATGATGATACTATGTCTCTTTACCCTTTCCTTTTGCCTCATACCTGACATATCACCTCTTCCCTAATTGAGGCTTTCTTCACTTGTCCTGCTACCACAACATGCTATTGTTCTCATCTTTAGACTCTAGTTTTTGTGTATCTAATAGAATGATGCCAGATTATTTTCCCTAGGGCAATACTCTGATTACGACCCAACTAGCTCAAAATCCTGTAATGATTACTATCATCAACTATATTAAGTATAACTCTTAGCACAGCCTTAAGCTTCATACTACCACATAAACGTATAGGAACCCATTTTTTCAAACTTATCTCCCACTATATACTGAGTCATTGTTTCTCATATTTATCTGGCACCATCTATGCCTTAGGTAGTACTGACCATTTTATCTGAAATTCTTTCTACAGCCTCTATTCTTCCTTCCTTTGTAAATATCATCTTGTTAAAGAGATAAGTCTATCAATATTTGTCTCAAATGGCACTTTGTAATGAAGTAACAATATGGACGCATTCTTTCTTTTAAATTTCAAAATGTCTATAGATTGAAAAATATTTTCTACAGTGTTTAGCATTATGCTCTGCCCTAGTAGATTAGCAACATTTTAATGACTTAAACTGAATAAACATGTATATCACAGGGAAGTAAAAATAATCTACCCTGTTTGTTAATAATGATTTAATATCTGTAAGAAAGAAACTTGTGCTTACAGAAAGGTAAGTGAGCAACTTACAGAATGTCCACTTTATATTAAATGATAACAATGATGATGTTGGTAATAAAATGATTATAGCTAATATTTATTAAGAAAATATTATGTGTCAGGTACCATTCTAAGCACCTTACATGCAATAGCTTATTTAATCTTCAAAATAAGTTTAAACTGGTTATAATTATTATCCTCATTTTAGAGATGAGGAAACCAAATCAGAGTTTGGGTAACCTGCCCAATGTAATATTCTTAAAAAGTAAAAAAAGTAACAATTCTAGTAAGACAGTCTGACTCCAGAAATGAGCTCCAGGAGAGATTAAAGAATATTTTTTGTACTGAATATCTTATACATGTCAAAATTTACTACTTGTTAATAAAATATGCAGGAGGAGAAGGGGACGACAGAGGATGAGATGGCTGGATGGCGTCACAGACTCGATAGGCATGAGTTTGAGTAAACTCCGGGAGTTTGTGATGGACAGGGAGGCCTGGCGTGCTGCGATTCATGGTGTCATAAAGAGTCGGACATGACTGAGCGACTGAACTGAACTGAACTGAATAAAATATGAAATGAGAATCCTATGAGTAATTTCCCAAAAATCTCATTTAAATCATTTGTTTCCTAGAAGTAAGTTGACTGGATACTGAACAAGCCAAACAGACTATGAATTATCTCAGGACAGGGACTGTAACTTATTCATATTCATACATTAAGAATCTAATCTGATATTTGATACATAATTCTGCTGAATTTATGATAAAAAAGGATTATATAAATTAAATTCAAGTTCCACCCATTTTACTTTTAAAGTTTTGCTGTTTCCTCACTAAATAGTAGTATTGCTTTGATTCCCCATAAGCAGTTTCTGAAAATGCTCTTCAGTAAGAGTTTCTTCTAAAATGCATAATCAAAGCTCTGTGCAATGTTTGTGGAACGGCCAACGGATCAAATGTTCTTTGACCAACAGACTAAAAGTTTTCCTTTTCTGAGAAAAAGAAAGTAAGAAATAAATTTCCTTAAAACGTTTTTTTCAAAGGGACTTGGAGAGCTGAGATTTTAAATTATAGTGTTCCCTATCTACTTAATCATAGTTGACTTAATATAATTATACACAGTAGCTTATTATCGTAGATAATAAATCCAACTTTGGCAGCAGATATACCTGAGTTTGAATTTGGGCTTTGTCTTTTATCCACTGTAAATGGAAATAAATGTATATAAATGTATATAAATGTAAATCCTCAGATGAGGGTTCCACAGATAATGTATAAAGCACAAAGCAAAATAGCTGGCAAAGTACACATTCAATAAATTTTACTTCTAGTGTTTTAAAAAAATAATGATGAAGTCAATGAGAAAGTAGATTCACAGATTTTAGACAACTAAGAATAAACTTAACTTTAAATCATTCCATCTATTCCACTACTTAAAAATATTTGAATATATGGAAAAAGCTACAAATGAAACTGCAGTGCTAAACAAAGAAACAGTTATGAAAGCTGAGTAAAAATTTGCTTTCTAGCTAAAAAAGGCAGTGGCATTCCAGGTGGAGGAAAAAGGCAGGTGGACAGGCACTTAGGCATAAAAGAACTTTTGAGAGAATGGTAAGGAGGACAAGGTATAAAGCATATGCTGGGGAGGAGCAGGTGCCTATAAAGACAGACACTTAATAGACCAAAAAGGGTTTTTAAATACTCTGCTAAGAAGCATTATGTACTAACAGGCATTATGTATAAGAAGCATTATGTCTGAGCACAAAAGCATTAATTCTTGAATCCACCTTTGCTATATAGGTATCTTGCTAAAAGCTAAAAGAAAATGATGTATAAATGGAATCCTCTAATGTAATACTTTCTAACTAACACTATATAAAAATGACCTTTTCTACTTAATGACAGAAAGGCTCCATAAAGGCTTGTGTATTGGTAATGAGTATTTTAAAAGTATGGCAAAATATAAGAACTCAAAGAGTATCTACTTTAAAAAAATGCTGAAGAGAGGGTAATTTTTCCTTCTTGCTCCCATGGTAGTATATTTTCACTTTGGCTTCACTTTCACAGGGGTAAATGAAGTCAAACAGCTAAAAGTTTCTATTTCATTTCATTCTATACCACCATGGAAATCCTAGCACAGGTCATTTTTCATTCATTCTTAATAATTAAGTACCTAATCAAAGAATATACACAGAACAATTTTTTCAGCAGACTTTTCAAGACAGACTTAAATTTTCCAGTGATGTTGGAAATTCCAAGCAGCACTATCAATTTTTAAAAAGCATACCTAAGAGCGCAGTGAGTTTGGGAAGCAGTCCAACTTGTACCATCTTATTCCTCAGTCCTGTGTCAAAGGACAGGTTTAGTAGAAGTCGGAGGGTGATATTTAGCAGATCTTCATGCTCACAAGGTATCATTTTTACCAGTTTTTCAACAATATCCATTTCCACCTATAGAAAATAATAATACAAATGCAGTCAGTCTCTATTACACAATAAGACAAAAAAGATTACAAAGAATTATCTTTTCATTGTTTTCACCCTCATGAATATGTATAAGTAATATGGGTTTATTTCTCTCATTATAATCTGTAAACTTCTCTGAAACCAAACTTTTGAGGAGAAAATACATATTTCCAGTTCATCCCTTCCTTCTCTTATTTCATAGCATCAACTGGAAGACAAATTACTTTGGGTTCTTGAAAGCACATTATGAATTCCACCTACTAAGTGCCAGAACCTGTCCTAGATTAAACCAGATTCTGTCTTGGCTTTTAACGATTCCAGTCTAAAAACAGAGCAGAAATGAAACAAATAATTAAAATGCAATGTGATAAATGTGGAATGCACCAAGTACTCTAGAAACAATGTGGAAGGAACTATAAGCTACCTAGAAAAGACTAAATTTGAAACCAAGGTTTAAACAATGTATAATAATTTGTTCTCTGGTAAATACATTGATAGGGTTTCCCCAGTAGCTCTGTGATAAAGAACCTGACTGCCAAGCAGGAGATGCGAGTTTGATCCCTGGGTCAGGCAGATCCCCTGGAGAAGCAAACGGCAACCCACTCCATATTCTTGCCTGGTAAATCTGATGGACAGAGGAGCCTAGTTGGGTTACAGTTGGACAGGACTTAGCAGCAAACAGCAATAACAAAGACAATGATCATCTGTGTATCTGTGTGCTGAGTTGTTTTCTACTCTTTATGATCCCAGGGACTGCAGCCCACCAGGCTCCAATACTTTGGCCACCTGATGCGAAGAGCTGACTCACTTGAAAAGACCCTGATGCTGGGAAAGATTGAAGGCGAGAGGAGAAGGGGACGACAGAGGATGAGATGGTTGGATGGCATCACTGACTCAATGGACATGAGTTTGAGTAAACTCCAGGAGTTGGTGATGGACTCATTTATTTTTATTAGTTGGAGGCTAATTACTTTACAATATTGTAGTGGTTTTTGCCATACATTGACATGAATCAGCCATGGATTTATATGTGTTCCCCTTCCTGATCCCTCCTTCTGCCTCCCTCCAAAATCACAACTTAAAAAATAAAACAGCATCAGAGCTGAGGTTGCAAGGAAATCAATTGGTTTGAAATATAAGGAAAATACGCATACCCAAGGAGATAAGGGTCATGAGCACTGGTTTATATGGAGCAGAGCGCAGAAGAAAAAGAGGGCTACCACAGAATTCAGTAGGAACACTGAACAAAAAGTTTTAAAACAAATAGTTTAGCCAAATGTGAAGCAGCCTGAGACTACAGAACTCTGAAGCTATAGATGCTCAGGGAGTTTGCAACCACTTGCAAACTCTTTTCCAAGGACCTTATTAGACGGTCACAAGAAATACTAGGGATAGGACAGAAGATGGTAGAAAACTTCCACACAGAGGCATGGACCTAAGAAAGAGGCATTACTGTTAATGAGGAAAACGCACAAAATCTTCTTCAGATCTTTTTTCTCCTATTTCTCCTAAAAGACAAAAGACTTAAGATTCAGGGAAATATGGCAAATCCTGTCACATCTGAAGCACTGGTGAAGACCCACTGCAGCAAGGGCAAGGAAACAGAAAAAATATCCTGAGGAAAGAAGTTGACAGTATGACTTAGGAAGCCCCACTGCTGAAAATCATGGACACAGGACAAGCCTAAAACTAGCCTGAAACTAAATTAGAACAATGGAAAAAGTTTCTTCTCTCCTCCTCCCCACTCCTGGCACAAATTAACAAGGCCAAGTGACAAACAACAGCAGTATATTACTGGAGGAGAGTTAAAATGAAGAGGAAGATTCTCTTTGAGGTACAGGCATACTGCAAAAGCCTGAAGTAGAGGGTGGAACATGAACCCCTGAGAAAAATCCTCTGGCAATCAATATTCTACCAAAGACAAAATAATGCTAGATGAATTTGAAGCTGATGATGCCTGGAGGGTAACCAAACAGTTAAACTCCTGACAAAAATGACTTAAGTCCCAACATTAAAAACCTAAAAAAGGTCTGACCATTTCCATACATAAATATCATTTATCTCACTCTCTACTAATCTACACATAGTATCCAGCTTTCAACAACAAAAAAATTATGATACACAAAACAGCAAGAAAAAAACCCACTGATAAGATAATGCCATCAGCAGCACCAGATTCAGATATGACTTGTATAATTACTAGACAGATAATTTAAAATAACTATGATTAACATGTTAAAGACCCTACTGGAAAAGATGAAAACCACATGTAAATGGACAGAGTATCTCGCAGAAAAAAATGACACAAAAAGAATTAAATTTTAAAACACATACGTAGGAAATCTTCAAAGGGCTCATTAGTAGATTTGATATAGCTAATGCCAGAATAAGTAAACCCAGAGGTGGGCAGGTCAAAAAGCCACAAGTAAAAAATGAATTTAGCAATGGCTCAAGACATAAGAAGGTCAATACACAAATTATGTATCTATATTCTATCATTCAACAGTCAGGAAACTGATACTTTCTTTTTTAGCAACTATCGTTACAATGGTAAAACACTTAGGTATAGATCTAACAAAATATGGGCAAAATATGTATGCTTAAAACTACAAAATCATGAAAGAAATCAAGAAAGACCTAAAAAAATGGAGAGTTATACCATGTTCATGGATTGGGAACTTTAATATGGTTAACACACTGTATCCTGCCAATAGAGTCAATTCAATCTCAATCAAGATTCCAAGATATTTTGTTTTCTTTAACAAACACACTACTTGATTCTAAGTATATATGGAAAGATAAAGAATTTGAAGTAGCCAAGACAATTCTGAAAAACAGCAAGAACTTATGAGGCTCACTCTAACTGATTTCAAGACTTATTGCAAAAGTTACAGTAATCTAGACAAACATGCATCAGCAAAAGCATAGAAGCAAATTAGCGGAACAGAAAAGAATCTAAAAATAAAATCACACTTACATAGGGCAATTGATTTTCAACAACAGTACAAAGGCATTTCAATAAGGTACAAAGGCAATTTAGTGGACAATGGACAGTCTCTTCAACAAATGGTGCAAGGACAATTAGAAATCCATATTCAAGCTACCAACGGTATTTTTCACAGAACTAGAACAAATAATTTCACAATTTGTATGGAAATACAAAAAACCTCGAACAGCCAAAGTAATCCTGAGAAAGAAGAATGGAACTGGAGGAATCAATCTGCCTGACTTCAGACTCTACTACAAAGCCACAGTCATCAAGACAGTATGGTACTGGCACAAAGACAGAAATATAGATCAATGGAACAGAATAGAAAGCCCAGAGATAANGCAAAAGCTCAACACCAAATCCAAGGCTGTGCAGATTTGCTCCTGTTTTATTTTAGAAATTTAAAAGTTTTGTATTATGAGCATATCTTCTCATTTTTAAAAAAGGTTTTTATTTTACATTTAGGTGTTTGATCCATTTTGAGTTCTGTCTTGTGTAGAGTATGAGGTCTGTGTCTTGCTTTATTTATTTATTTATTTGGTTTTGGTTTTTGCAAATGGTTTTTTATCAAAGAATGCTCCTAATGGTGGAAAGATTTGGGTCCCATCTGATCTACCTTCATTCAGTGTGAGTCTTGGGACCTAGAGATGAATCTATCCATCATTTTCTTTCAAGTAATCTTCCCCTGCATGCATGTGTGCTAAGTCACTTCAGTCGTGTCCAACTCTTTGCGACCCTATGGACTGTAGCCTGTCAGGCTTCTCTGTCCATGGGATTCTCCAGACAACAGCATCTAAACCTGTATATTATCTATGGTGAAACAGATCACCAGTCCAGGTTGGATGCATGAGACAAGTGCTCGGGCCTGGTGCACTGGGAAGACCCAGAGGGATCGGGTAGAGAGGGAGGTGGGAGGGGTATTGGGATGGGGAATACATGTAAATCCATGGCTGATTCATGTCAATGTATGACAAGACCCACTGCGGTATTATAAAGTAATTAGCCTCCAACTAATAAAAATAAATGAAAAAAAAAAAGAAAAAAAAAAGAAATCCATATTCAAAACATGGCTATTGATATATATGTAAAATTATATCATATGTAAAATTAATATGTAAAGTTAATTAATCATATGTAAGCACCATATGTAAAATTAACTAAAAATGCATGGATCACAGACTAAAACAAAAGCAACACCACCACCACCACAAATTCTACAAAACTTTTTGAAGAAAATCTCCATGACCTTAAGTTAAGTAAAGATTTCTTAGATACAACACCAAAATATAATCCATTGAAGTTTTTTTATATATTGGATTTCCTAACAATTAAAACCTTTGCTCCTCACAGGAAAATAAAAACATGAACCATAGAAAGGGAGTAAATACTTCTAAAACATAATTGATAAAACTTATATTCAAAATACAAAAACAAGGCTCAAAAATTAATAAGATATGCAACCCAAGGAATATATATTCTCTCTGTTCTTAAATTTATATTCTAGAATGACTTAGTCCCTTTTAAGCATATTGTATTTATACTAAAAAATTAAAACTCAATTTAAATCATTAATTGAAAGATTTTTTATGCAAATTAAATTTCCTTTAAAATACATAACCCCCAAAAGCAAGGTCAATATTAGTTCATTTCAACAGTAAAATGAACACTTCACAGATCAGTTATCCCTCCCCTCCATTCTTTTTAAATAAAATTGCCACAGGCTTCATCTGTTACTAATTATACTAAGTAATATTTTTCTTTCAAAAAAGCCACAATACACACTGGTTGTTATAGCAAACTTAATAAAGTAACTTGGACAGTTTTTTTTTAAATTAATTAGTATTTCCATTGCACAGAATGAAATGTAAAACATGCCAAGCAGCACAATCATATAGTTAAACACTAGACACCATGTTGTTCTTAAATTCATATTCTAGAATGACTTAGTCCCTTTTAAGCATATTGTATTTATATTAAAAATGAAAACTCAATTTAAATAATTAATTGAAAGGTCTTTTTATGCAAACTAAACACAGTCTTCTAATCATGTTTTTGATTGATAAAGCCCAATCCCCAAAGCTAAATTTAGTAATTTTATCTCAATAATGCCCTCTCAATTTGATGCCTCTAAAATGAAATTTATAGTTAATTAGTACTTTTATTAAAAATTCTATGCAAAGTGACAGCTTATCAAACACTTATAAGCAAATTTATTTCAGCATTTAAGTAATTATTTTTCAGTGTTTCTGAAAGTCAACATTTAAAAATTGCTTATACTTCATCTTGCTAAAAATGTTATTTTAAAAAGTAACATAAAATGAATTTTGTCTTGGAGGCAGAGAGGAAGAGTAGAAAGTCAAATCCTGGCGATGTTTCCTTGAGCCAATTATCTAACCTCTCTAACTCTCTGTTACTTCATCTTTATAATTAAGAGTTAATCTACAAATGCAGACATAGATATTAGGTCTAGCTGAGCTCTAAGAATCCTGATTCTATATAATACACTTAGGAAAAATGAATTCTTTTCCACAATGAAAGATGAAATGCACATCATGTACACTAAAATTCCTGCCAATCAAACTATTCTTATGACTTTGGATGAATTACCTTTTCTGATCCTCAATTTTTCCTCCCCAATAATTTGTGAAATTTGATAATTTATATTGTATCTTCTGAATCTATGATTTTACCAGAAAATGATTTTTCATTATGTTTCTGAGATCATCTTTTGACAGAATAAATACATAAGAAGAAGAGTATTATCTAAATACAAATAAAAGCAGTGTATAGCAGATACATACTTATGGCAACTCAATTTGAATTGTGCACACTTGTTAAAGGTGAACTTATTTCAAACACATAAATGGAAGAATATATTTCAACTTACAGCAAGGGGAAACAAATACTTAGACACATTCTAACTATACTCAGGAGTATATATTAATATATCACCATGTCATATTCTTCTAGAATATAAGATCAATGAAAATAAAAAACATGTTTTTGATTAATTTAAGTAAATTCAATCCTAAAACAGTATCACACACAGCTATCTTCAATAATCATCAAAACTAATGATGAAAATGATGCATGCTAAATATTTTTGGGTAAAATAAAATTTCATGTATTTCAAGTATCAGAATTCAAGACATTTAATAAACCTAATTAATCAGTCTCAGGTATTCAAAGAGTACACCATGTCATTCAATAAGCATAAGTTATTTCCTAGCTTATTAGATTTTAAAAGAAGGAAAAAAAAAAACAGGTAGAAATACTATATATTTAGACTACCTGAAGGAGACACAGTCTCCTAATGACTTGTAACAGCATATAGTTCTAAAAGTTTCCAATCAAGTTAAAACCAATGACCCAATAGTTTCACTCCTAGAAATCTATCCTAAGAAAACAAACAGAATATAGACAAAAAAATGCATGTACAAATGTGTCCACTGAAGTCTTATTTATAATAGCTGAAAGTATAAGCAACTTAAGCATCTGAAGGCAAGGTATGGTTATTGTATAATCTCTTTAACCTAACATCGTTCTTACAAAGACTCTTTAATGACATGGAAAAAAGCAGATAATTTTTATTCTGTCTTTATTTATTTACTGTTTTGTTGTGCCTTGTGGCATATGGGATCTTAGGTTTCCCAACCAGGGATAGAACTGCACCCCTGCAGTGAAAGTGAAGAGTCCCAGCCACTGGACCACCAGAGAATTCCCTATTCCATCTTTACATCTTTCTGTATTACATATACTTTTAAGCTGGAGAAATAATGTATGATCAACTTGTACCATTTATCAAAAATAACTGCATCAATACAAGATGGCAAATGGGAACCTACTGTAATGATACAAAAGGAAATGAAGACGGTACAAATAAAGAGGGCGTTAACTAATACAATGGCTCTGGTAACAGAATGAAAGGATAGTTCAAGGGATCTATCAAGCAGAATCAACAGACTGCAGCTACCGACTGGAACAATAAATAAGGAGGAGGCTGGGCTAAACTATATTGCCACACACTAATACCAGAAATGCAGGAGAAAAAAGAATTTAGGGGAAAATAATAAGGCCAGATAACTCTGAATCACAATCTAAAGTTAAAATTACTTTCTATATATTATGTTTAATATGGAAAGATTCATTCTGTATAATATGGAAAGATTCATTCTGTATAATATATTAGGAAAATATTTTATTCAGAAAAGTTCAATTATCTGGATTATTAACTAATATGAAATATATTTCCTAATGAAGCCACTTAAGTGAATTACTGCTATTGTAATTTTTTTAATTTAGAATTATCTTAATAGGGGGATAATGTGTTTACTTTTTATTAAAAGATTCTAATTTGAAAATGGTGAACATGGACTGTTTCAACATAAGTTACCATGTCATTTTTATTCTCCATAAAAATGCTGAGTTTCTTCAAAAATGATACAACTAGAATAAGCAGCTCAAAATTGTCCCGATCAAGAGCTTTCACCAGCATGTGAACTATGTTCTTGTTCCTCATCTTCAGCTCTGTACGTGTATCCTCAGCAAGATTCAGAAGCAAATAAAGAGCAACTAGAAAAATAAAATAAATGAGAGTTAAATAACTGGCACATTGAATCAACAATTTAATAAATCATTTCAACTCACTAAAGTGACAGATGTAGTTCTAAGAAGATAATGTTATCTTGAAAATTTTAACTAGCTATTCATTACAAAATTAACATTGATATATATGCTATAATAAATACAGCATATATATAATAACATTTTTATGATGCTGAGAAAGACACAATAACCAAAATAAGACAATGATTCCTACATTTTCAAGCTGAAAGTTTCATGGTAATCAAATATCAATTAAAGGTACATATTAGAAAATAATAAAACAGGAAAATAGAGAAAAATAATTTTATACATGTGGAAAACAAGGTAAAATTTCAACACCCAAGGGTTGCTATGTTAAAAAAATGTACAGTATAGCCAGAGCTGAATTTAAGGATGTACATGCTAAGTTGCTTCAGTCATGTCAACTCCAAGACCCTATGGGCTATAGTCCACCAGGCTCCTCTGTCCATGGGATTCTTCAGGCAAGAATACTGGAGTGGGTTGTCATGCCCTCCTCCAGGGAATCTTCCCAACCCAAGGACTGAACTAGCCTCTCTTACATGTCCTGCATTGGCAGGTGGGTTCCTTATCACTACTGCCACCTGGAAAGCCTGAATTTAAGGATCCTAAAACCTATTTTTCATATTCATATGGATGTTGCCCCAGTAGTATGGAATAATTAGTTTTAGACTAAATGCCACTCGTGTCCAAACTAACAAATCTTAAGAGCAAGATCAAAAAGGATTAAACTGTTACCAAGTAATCTAATTATGCCTCAAAATAAAGCTCACAAATATTTATAGGAATAAAAAAACATTTATCACCTACCAATGGAAATTTCACATAGTACCTCCAATCAAAGATTATTAACCATTTAAAAAAAGCAGGAGGGACTTCCCTGATGGTCCAATAGCTAAGATTCCAAGCTCCCAATCCAGGGGGCATCGGTTCAATCCCTGGTGGGGACTTAGATCCTGCATGCCCCAACTATCACATGAGTCACAACTAAAACCCAGCACAGTCAAATTAATTAATTAACTAATTATTTTTTAAAAAGCAAGAAAACACAATCTATAAGGAGAAGAAAAACCATCCAGTTGAAAGTATCCCAGAACTGACACCAAAGTTATAATTATGGAACAGGAATATTAAAAGTCATATAACTGTATTTCAAATGTTCTACAAGTTAAGTAGAGACATGGAAGATATAAAGTTAAATCAAATGTCTAGCATTGAAAACTGCAATGCCTGAGATTTGTATATTAAATTGAATTGATGGTAGTTTAGAGACTGGAGAAGAACAGATTATTGAAATTAAAGACAAAACTAAAAACTATCCAAAATTAAACACACAAAGGAAAACTACAAGAGCAAAAATGTAAAGATATCAGTGAACTATGGAACCAACTTCAAGTGACCTAATATAACTGAATATTCTGGAGCCCTGAATAAATAATAATTGGTAATTTTTAAAATTTGATAAAAAATATAAATCCACATTCCCAGTAAGGTCAGTGAAATCCAAGAATAAGAAACATGAAGAAAGCTACATCAAAGTGAAAGTGAAACTCACTCAGTCGTGTCCAACTCTTTGTGACCCCATGGACTATACATCCATGGAATTCACGAGGACAGAACACTGGAAGTGGGTAGCCTTTCCCTTCTCCAGGGGATCTTCCTAACCCAGAGACTGAAGCCAGGTCTCCCACATAGAATTCGGATTCTTAACCAACTGAGCTATAAGGGAAGCCCAGCTACACCAAAGCACAATATAATTAAACTAGTCAAAACAAAACAACAGCAAAAAGTATGTATGTGAATGCTCAGTTGCTGAGTTGTGTCGTCTGACTCTTTGTGACTTTACAAACTGTAGCCTGCCAGGCTCTTCTGTCTTTGGCATTCTCCAGGCAAGAATCCTGGAGTGGGTTACCATTTCCTTCTCCAGGGAATCTTCCAGACCCAGGAACTGAATCTACTTCTCTTGCATCTCTTGCATTTGCTGGTGGATTCTTTACCACTGAGCCACTTACATACCTATCAATAATTACTTTAAGTGCAAATGGACTAAAAGCTGCAATCAAGAAATGCAGTGGCTGACTGTATATAAAAACAAGACCTATACATATGCTGCCTACAAGATAATCAGTTCAGATCTAAAGCCACAAACTGACTGAAAGTGAGAGGATGGAAAAAGCTATTCCATGCAAATGCTAAAAGAAAAATGGAGGAGCAATACTTATATAAATATACTTTAAGCCAAAGACTATAACTAGAAACAAGGGAGGACACGACATAATGATAAAGGGATCACTCCAACAATAAAATACAATTTTAAACACATATGCACATGGAAACACAAAGACCACAAACAGCCAAAACATCTTGACAAAGAACAAAGTTGGAGATATTCCACTCTGATTCCAAACTATACTACAAAGTTACAGTAATCAGAACAGTGTGGTACAGTACGAAAAACAGACACACAGATCAATGGAACAGAGTAGAGAGTGCAAGAATAATTGTCAATCTATGACAATGAAGGCAAGAATATACAAGTGCTAAAGATGGCTTTTTCAATAGTGTTAAGAAAACTAGACAGCTACATGTAAAAGAATCAAACCGGACTACTTTTTCACACCATATACATAAACTCAAAATGGATTAAAGGCTTAAATATAAGACCTGAAACCATAAAACTCCTATAAGAAAACAGGTAAGATGCTCTATAACATCAACCTTAACAATAATTTTTTGAATATGTCTCTTCAGGCAAGTGAAACAAAAGTAAAAACAAACAAAGTTGACTACATCAAACTAAAAAGCCTTTTTATACACCATTGGATACTATTAACAAAATGAAAAGGCAGCCTACTGAATGAGGGAAGTTATTTGCAAATGACATATCTGATAAGAGATTAATATACAAAACATATAAAGAACTCACACAACTAAACATCAAAAAATCAAACTCAATTAAAAAATGGGCAAAGGATTTGAATAGAAATTTTTCCAAAGAAGACATACAGATGGCCTACAGACACATGAAAAAAGCTCAACATCACTAATCATCAAGCAAATGAAATCAATACTACACTGAGATAACACCTCACACCTGTCAGAATGGCTATTATCAAAAAGACAACAGATAAATGCTGACAAGATGTGGACAAAAGTGAACCCTTGGCGTACTGTTGAAAGGAATATAAATTGGGTTCAGTCACTCTGGAAAACAGCATGGTGTTTATCAAAAAGTTAAAAATAGACCTATAATATGATCCAGCAATCCTACTTCTGGGTATACATCCAAAGGAAATAAAATCATGATCTCAAAGAGAGATTTGCACTCCCATGTTCACTCCAGCATTATTCATAACAGTTGAAATGTGGAAGCGACTCTAGTGTCTATAGATAAATGAATAGATAGAGTAGATATGAAATACACATTTATATAAAATATATATTCCATAAAGAAATCTGAGCACCAGAGAATCGATGCTTTTGAACTGTGCTGTTGGAGAAGACTTTTGAGAGTTCCCTGGACTGCAAGGAGTTCAAACCAGTCAATCCTAAAGGAAATCAGTCCTGAATATTCGTTGGAAGGACTGATGTTGAAGCTGAAACTCCAACACTTTGGCCACCTGATGCAAAGAGCTGACTCATTGGAAAAGACCCTGATGTTGGCAAAGACTGAAGGCAGGAGGAGAAGGGGATGACAGAGGATGAGATGTCTGGATGGCACCATCAACTTGATGAACATGAGTCTGAGCAAGCTCAGCGAGTTGGTGATGGACAGGGAAGCCTGGCGTGCTGCAGTCCATGGAGTTGCAAAGAGTCAGACACGATTGAGCAACTGAACTGAACTGATAATACATATGAAATATATACTATATATTACTTACATATGTTATATGTAACATATATATATAGAATAGGATATTATTTGTTAATAAAAAGGGATGATATTCTGATTATTTGAGTCAACAAAGATGGATCTTGAGGGCATCGTGCTAAGTGAAGTAAGTCAGACAGAGGAAGATTGTAGGTTCTCACTTATATGCTTTTATGTAGAATGTAAAAACTTTGACTTCACAAAAATAAATAAATTGATGGTTACCAGAAGCTGTATTGTGGAGGAAATGGGGAGATGGTATTCAAAGAATACAAACTTTCAATTATAAGATGAATAAGTTCTGGGATCTAATATATAGCATGGTGACCACAGGTAAAGATACTGTATTGTATACTTGAATGGTGCTATGACAGTAGATGTTAACTGTTCTCACCATAACAACAACAGAATGGTAATTATGTGAGATGAAGGATTTGTTAAGTAATCTTATTGTGGTGAACATTTTGCTATATATATGTGTATCAAATCATTACACTGTATACCTTAAACTTACACAATGTTTGTTATATGTCAATTATATCTCAATAAAAGCTGGGTGAAAAATCAATAGTCAGCTACAAAGCAGTAATTTCTTATAAATGATACAAGATTTTGCATCTTATCAATGGCTGAGAAATCATATTATTAAACTGTTAAATCTGTCAACAAACCCTAGAAAGAAGAGACTTTTTTTTTTTTTACTAAAGAGATATATCTTGAAAAGTTTTACATCAGTTTCCTAGGAAAGCAACAAAATTGTCACCATATAAGAAACATATGGAAGGGTTTGAGAGACAAGATTCTTATTACTGAAAAGGTCACACAATGGATTAAAAAATCCACTCTGATCAAAACAATTTCAAGAATATAATTTATACATTTAAGAACTGGATGGGACCTTTTGGTGGAAAGATAGTGGAGTGAAATTTGAAACATTAATATCAATGCTAAAGAGAAGATTTTGTAGCACATTAAGATTCATAGAATTTTCAATTATTCTGACATTAGCTTTATTCATCTAACAAACATAAACAAACTAAATGTAGAGTAAGCACTCTGTTGCATTCTCATTGCTTAGGTATTCATACCTCGTAACAGCTGTTCTTGTTTTACCACAAGCCCTTGGTATTTTTTAAATGTTTTTTCATAATCTTTTCTCAAGGTTTGGTTTTCAGGGTCTTCATCAAGTAAACAAGTTAAGGATCATCCATATCCAATGAAGCAAAGAAAACCTACCAAAAAACACTTTGAAAAACCATTAAATTTTATGTGCAATTTTATCCAGTTATTTTCTGCAACCATGAGTTTAATTAAAATATTCTACTCTGCACAATAATTGTGTTAGACTAGAACTTCTTAACCTAGGGTTCAAGGATGTGCTTGCAGACCTTGGGTGACCACATGTTTAGGCTTCACCAAATACATAAATCCTCAAAAACTGTATGCATTTTATAAATGTGCACAAGTCTCCAACTTTCACCAGATTAAAAAGTGGGTCTATGAACCAAAAAGGTTACAGACTTGAAGAATGGTTCAGTTGATAAGGATAGTGATTTCTACTTCAGACAGATGTCTAGTATATTCAAAGGATGTAGATTAGATCTAAAGCTTGTTAGCACCCTCTTCAGACTACATACAAAAGTAAAATATTCCAAAGCGAGAGAAAGACACTTTAAAATTATATGTTATAACCCCAGACAGTCCCCTGCAGACCTGCAGAAATAACCAATTACTGCAGTATGACTTCAGGATTCCCAAGCACTAAAAAACATCCCCTTTGTTGAATGCTACTTGCATGACAACAGAGTTTTCCCCTCAATTTTTGGAAATTTTAGGTACATTCAGTAAACTTGGGACTCAAGAAATTACCTATGGCCTCTAGGATTATTAAGTTATCCACATGGGTTAAGTCAATACCAATCTAGATGTCAGAAAGTTAGAGCACGCATAGAAAATGTCTAAACCCGTAAAGATCCTAATTAAGAAAAGTCAAATCTGTGTGTGGGGGGGGTTGTATTTTTATAGTGACTTGGGGATCCTACCAAGGGGAGGTAAAAACACGAGATATTGGGCACAACAGAAACAATATTTTTAGTTTTTAAAAGAGATCAATAAATTTTGGGTTCAAAAGAAAATGACCAATACAGCTTGTTCATCTGTAAAACATGTCATATGAAGACATGTCAATTAGTCTGGGCCTTCAATTAAAAATTAAAGTTGTAAAAAAAAAAAGAATTATAGTTATAGAGAAAATATGCTCAGTATTGTTAAATATAAGAAATGGAATATTGAAGAGAATATATATCCTTATTCTACATTGCTTCAGTATGAAAGACTAGAATCAAAGAATAGAAGTTATTGGGAAGTAGATTTTGATACGCTAGGCGAAAGAGTATTATAGTAAGCAGAATGCTAAAACACAGAATGAGTTAAAGAATAAGCAGTGACATGTTAAAGAAGAGACTAATACTCCATTGGTAAGGAAGTTGCAGAAAAGATTCTAGGATTGAATGATAGGTTAAAACTGATTATTTTTCAAGGTTCCTTTCATGGATTCTATGATTCTACAGGCAGCTCAAATCTGTATGTATTTTTAAAAAGAATTTTTGCACTTAATTAGAAAAATAGAATTTAAAACTACGTTCTTCACCAAAGTCACACTCATTCCAATCAAAGTCACCTTATTTCACAGAGAGAACTACATAGGCCAACAGTTGTGAGCCAGACTTCAGCTTACTAAATGGTCTTAGGGGACATAATAGCACAGCCACTTAGAAACTCACAAATTCAGTTATCCAGGACAACTAGTATTTATTCCTCTAGCTTATCACCTAATCAAAGTTGTAAAAAAGATCAAAACTATATGTGAAAATATATTCATTCTGTTAATTTCAATCTTCATCTTAACCTTCAATACACTATTGCATTTTTCCAGGTAATGTGAGTGACAAAACAAAATCCCCTCTATCCAAAGCTCCTGGGCAACAGCAGTAGGGTGAAATGCTGCTTCAAAGGATATCAGCTTTCTTCTTCTTAGAAAGTTCTTCTTGCCAAAGCTCATGTCTTTTTAATTCATGATCAATGATATTCATACACAGAGCTCCAATTTTATAGTGAGTGATCAGTCCATGAAACTGAGAAAAGCTTTAAAGAAGAGTTTTTAGTATGTATTTAAAGAATACATTTTGAGGCTTCAGGAAATCTGTTTTGGATAAACACTGGTACAAACAATGTAAAACAGACTTGATATACATATTTTAATAAATGAACATATCCAGAGTATACTAGGAAGACTTGAAATTGTGAGATTACTTTAAATATATTTTAAAATACAATCTTTACTTGAAATGAAATTATTTTTAAGTTAAAAATTGAACAAAATGCATTTTTGCAACTAACCACCATTTTAACTATTTAGATATCCTCAAAATAAAATTTCAGACTGCCACTGAACAAAACTAGTAATATAACAGTACTATTATTGATGCCAGGAAATAAACTAATGAAGTATTAACAATCACGTTTTATGTTTCCTAGGCACTTTACTCATCCAAGTACTTATTCAGTAAATACTTATTTGCTAATGCTGGCACATTTTTAGAACAGAGGCAAAAATTCCCTAGAATTTCTGAAAAGTCAGAAACTTTTAACATTGCCTCAATAAGCATCCTTCTAAAGAATAAATGTCTATAAATGATATACATGAATACATAACAGGAACGCATCTGTAAACATATATAGTGGATGTACACAAGCACAGCTGACCCTTGAATCACGCAGTGACTGGGGTGTCAACCCTCTGGGTCATCAAAAATGTACATATAACTTATAGTGGGTTCTCCATACTGGTGGTTCTGCACAGATTCAACTAGTACCATTCATACAATATGGTGGTACATATTTAGTGAAAAAAACTACATACAAGTGGACCTGTGCAGTTCAACCCCATGTTGTTTAAGGGTCAACTGTATATAAAACAGTGACATTTACTGGCACTTACTCTAGGTCAAGCTTTTTTCTAATACCTATCTGAAGAGGCTGCTACTATTACTTTCCAAAATTACAGATGTGGAAACCGAGCATAGAAAGGTTAAGTACTGTAACCAAGACCACACAACTAAAAACAGCAGGATTTGGATTCAAATTTAGAGAGTCTATTTCCAAAGCCCATAACTCTTAAACTTTATACCATTATATTATCCTACTCCACATGCACATGCTTAGTGAATGTAGACTGAAAGAAAGACAGAACAACAAAGGGGACAGAGGATGGAAAATAGAAACTGAGAGGCAGAGCACTGTTAGACACATAGGAGACTGACAAAACTAGTGATCTACTATTCAAAGCAATGACACAGACAGAGAGAGAGAGAGATATATCAGAACTTTTATTTCCTAATTTTCACACTTACCTGGAAAAGCAAAAGAAGATGTATATTATGTTTGTAGCTAACTCAACACTTTGTTTCCAGTCTTCTCTCAGGACTCTTGCTAATGCACCGAGGGCAGTATCTAAAGAAAAGGGGACGAACAAAAATGATCACTCAGAACCAATTCTGATAGAAAGGGTACTTGGTATTAAATGTCTACTTATCAATAAATAATAAAGCTAAGATAGAACTGGGACAAAAAGTAGGATGCTTCTTCCCAACACAGAAAGCTATTTTAAAAATTTAAATACTAAAACTCACAACATGCTACTTTAAGTCTATTATCATAAACAGAAAAATAAAATATAATAATAAAGTAATAAATAAGTTAACAAATAAGTTAATTTATAATAAATAAAGTAACAAAATAAGAGTACTATTAATGACAAGAAATAATGAAAAGAACCATTAATTTCTTAATTTTCATTTCCATTTGCAACTGCAGTGCCAGGTTTTTAAAATCTGATTTAATGTATTTGTAAGGAAAAAAACTAGCTTAAGTCTAAAAAATTAATGAGCAATTTATAGCAGGATAGCACTAGCTTCACTGAAGCAAATTAATAATCAAACAAAACTTATAAACTGAAAAATAAGTCTAATATTTTAATGTCATGTTAAGCTGATGCTAACAAGCATAAATAGAGCAAAAAAATCTTCCCCAAAACTTCAGCCTAGACTGATAAACATCCCTGTTAGGCCTTTTGCTTTAAAATGGCAAATTAATGAATTGATTAATGAGAATTACTATACATTAAGTAAACATACAGTAATGCGAATAGTTTCAAATTAGTATTGTTCATGATTGACTTAAAATCATTAAAAATTGAAATATCTGTGTATTATATAGAGATCATAATTCAACTTTCTATAATAGGCATGCAGGATATACTATGAACTATATTATCAGTATTTATTATGCTAATGAAAGTAGTTTATTTGAGCTTTTTGGCCATTCACATTATGGAACAATAAGAATTCACTATATATTGTAATCTATTTAGTGAGGAATTTTTTCTACAAACTGAAAAATATCCTATAGTAGCATTTCATGATACTATTCATATTCATATTTATATTCCTTTATCAGAGCACTAGTATAATACAGGCCTTGAACAAAATTATTCTGAAGTCAAATAAATAGATAATATGTAAAAGCTTTAAAAAGTCTTAATAAAGAATCTGGTTTAGCTTTGTTTAATCCTGTATTACCAAAGGCATTTCATCATTATTAATCCAGAGGATTCAGTACTTCTTAGAATACACTTTGGAAAATGATGTGCTATAATGTCTTGAATTTAACATTTTTCTTCTTAACTGAGGAATAGAAAAATGTCTCAAAAAAACTACAGCTATGGGAATTATTTACAGGTAATGAAGAAATAAACCAGAAGAAAATAGAAAGCTTACAAAATATAAAAAAAAAAAACCCCAAAGTAATTTATAAGCTGAATGTAATCACAATTAAAATTTCATTATGATTTTCTTAGAGAATATAATAAAGTGATCACTAAATAATATATAATAAAACGTACAAGGCCAGCAACAACACTTAAAAAAAAAAATTAACACATTGGAACATGCCTCCTACTTATTCTAAAACTCTAGTCAAAGTACAAAACAAAATGTATCAAAAATAGTATGATATTGGAATGGAAATGATCAAATAGATCAATAGAAAAGAAAATAGAGCATCAAAACACCCCTATGAATAATATCAGAGCTGTACCTGGCACAGAATAAGCTTTCAAGAAGTATCTACTGAATAAAGAATGGCCAGCCTATATTAATAATAGAAAAGGCATTTCAAATCTTTGGGAAAAGAAGGAGTATTCAATAAGTACATCAGAATAACTGGCTATACAACATGGGAAAAATAAAATAAAATTACACCTCTATCGCTCACTTTCAACAAAAACGAATTTCGGGGCCAAGCACTTCTGGAACAGTAGACTAAGGACCTCCAAAAATCCACTCCTCCATAAGCAAATATAATACTGGTAAAACTTTTCAAAATCAACTTTTTTTTAGATCTGGAAATTAAGTAGTTTTGTGACAATTTGAGAAGAATTTACCTGAGAAATAGGCTGACTTGGTAAAAACAGTGAACTCTGGCATTTCAACTTGCCCTAATTCCATCCCCTCCATGCAACTTTGTGGAAACTTTGAAAACCAAGAGCATCATATTTGTGAAAAATAGTAGGCCAGCAGCAACTGGAGGAGAGAGAACAGTGTGGTCCTCCCCCAAGTCTGCACTCTGGTGAACTGTCAATACCTGATACACCAGGATGCTTGCTGAAAAGCTCCATTTCTATGGGTTGGCTTTATTTAACCTGACTCAGAGACTGTACCAGGGCATTTGCTGTAAGCTACTAGTAGCAACATTATAGCTACGTGCAGCAGCCTAGCCAACTAGAATTAGCAAGAGGCTGACCAAGACACTTTGAAAAGAAAAACTGGGAAATAAGATATTCACAGGGTCTTTGCAAGCCTCCAACATATTCCTGGTACTCTAGAAGGTCAGGCACATGTGCAGGAATGTCCTCATATCAGGGAAAGCCCTAAAAAAGCCTAATCTCTCATCTCTAGCCAACATTGACACAATATTCAAGCAGCAATTAAAGGCTAAGGTTTGTAAACTACTTGCTTGAGCACTGAAGACATCCTCCTGCCCATACGTTCATACCCAGAGCCCCTCAGCAAAGGTTAGGACACTTGGTTCCAGGCATTTAAAGAAATCTCTATCAAATCATTAGTTACCACTAAACTAACTGAGCAGAGGCTTCAGTGGACAAATAATACAGACTTTATAGAATTAACCCAGAAAAATCATTAAAAAAACAAACAGTAAAAATAACAAGCCCAGAAGGGAGTGGAATTCTGATTTCCAGAGTTGCTACAATATTCTTTCAACAACAATAACAAAAACACAATATATGCGAAGAAAAAAAGGACAGTATATCTATCCCAAACTCACAAAATATAGCATTGAATACAAACAATCCATGAGGAAGCTCAAATTTTGAATTTATGAGTCAAAGATTTTAAATTATTTTAAGTCACTATAAATATATTTAAAGAACTAAAGGAAATAATGTCTAAAGAATTAAAGGAAATACGAGAAGGTATGAGAATGCTGTCTCACCAAAGAACATCAGTGCTGCTGCTGCTGCTGCTAAGTCGCTTCAGTTGTGTCCAACCCTGTGAGACCCCACAGACGGCAGCCCACCAGGTTCCGCCGTCCCTGGGGTTCTCCAGGCAAGAACACTGCAGTGGGTTGCCACTGCCTTCTCCGAAAGAATATCAATAAGGAGATACAAACAATACAAGATAAACCAAACAGAAATTCTGAGGTTGCAAAGTTCAACCTCTGAAATGAAAAAGTCATTACAAGGTCTTAACTACAGTTGAGAATTAGAAAAAAATCAAGTATAAAGGCAAGTTGATTAAGATTATCCAGTCTTGAACAGAAAGGGAAAAAAAAAATGAAAAATATCAAGAGAGCTTCAAAGACATATATGACATCAACAAGCTTACTAACATGGGAGTCCCAAGAGAAAAGTATATACAGAGGAAAGAGCTGAATAAATACTTATCAAAATAATGGCCCAAACTTTCTAAGTCTGATGAAAAATAATCTGCATATCCAAGAAGCTCCACAAACTCCAAGCAAGATCATCTAAAAGATACCACCACTTAACCATAGGGCTTCCCTGGTGGCTCAGATGGTAAAGAATCTGCCTGCAATGTAGAATACTCGAGTTTGATCTCGAGATCAGAAAGATCCCTTGGAGAAAGGAATGGCTACCCACTCCAGTATTCTTGCCTGGAGAATTCCATGGACTGAGGAGCCCGGTGGGCTACAGTCCTTGGGTCACAAAGCATCGGACATCATAGTTAAACTGGCAAAAGCCAAAGGCAAAGCAAACAGTGAAAGTAGCAATTCAACATGTTCAAAGGGTCCTCAATAAGATTAACAGCTGGCTTCACATCAGAAACCACAGAGACATAAAGCCAGAGGGATGACATAGTCAAATTACTAAAAAAAAGAAAAAAAAAAAAAAAAACTTTGAGAATTTGTTGTTAGCAGACCTTTTTTATGAGAAATACGAAAGAGATTCCATCAGGCTGAAGTACAAGGACATTAGAGTGTAACTTAAATCCACACAGAGAAATAAAGAACACCAGTAAAGGTAACTCTCTCTGTATCTAAAAGAATTGTAAACATATTTTTTACTGTATTATTTTCTTCAGATTTTAAAATGCATACATCAATAATTATATTTCTTGCTGACAGGCTGATAATATATACAGATGTAATAAGTATGAATTAATAGTATAAAGATGTGGGGTGGGAACAGAGGTATACTGAAGAAAAGTTTTTATGGACTATTAAAATTATATTGGCATTAAGTTAAACTAGATTTTTAAAATTGAAGTTGGTATCTGTAATCCCAGGGTAACTACTAAGAAAATTAATTCAGGAAAACACATAATAGTAAATTAACAACAAAAGAATTAAAATGGAATACAAGAAAATATTTCACATAAAAGAAGGTAGTCATGGAGAGACAGAAGATCAAAACAAGATAAAAAGAAAACAAACAGTATGTTAGATGACAATCCCACTTTATGAGTAATTATTTTAATGGTAAATAGAATAAACATGCCAATCAAAAGGAAGATTATTCAAATATAGTAAAAAAAAAATATGACCCAACTCTATATCTAATCTACAACAGAAACACTTCAAATTCAAAGATACAAATAGGGTGACAGTTAAAGAATGGAAAAGATATGTCAAGGAAAAAAAAAAGACATAGACTGAAAGTAATTATTTGTAAGTACTTAAAAGAAAAAGGATATATATCATTAGATGACACTTTAACAACATGGGTTTTAACAACATGGGTTTGAACTGCACACAGGTCCATTTATACTTGAACATGGATTTAAATTTACGTATGCATGTGTCGACCTAGGCAGTTCAAACTCATGTTGTTCAACGGTAACCTGTAAATGATCCATGGTTGGTTGCATCCACAGATGCAGAAGAAAAGCATATGGAGGACCAACTATGGGACTTGAGTATCTGCAGATTTTGGTATCTTTGGCAGGCCCTGAAATCAATCCCCTGTGGATATTGAGGGATGACTGTATATATATATAAAAGGATGTATATTTATACATAAATACACATATATTCACATGTATGTATAAATACAAACTCCACAGGGTAGGAATTCCAAAAGTCTAGTGACATGAGAAAAAGATCGAATTTATTAGAAAACAGGTAAACACAACTTAAACCAAAGAGATACTGTTTGTTAGCAACAACACAATGGCAAAAATGTTTAAGTTTTATAGCCTTCATATTCCATGGGTCTGGAAATACAGTGGCATAAACACTTTGGAGGACAATTCAACAATATCCTTAAGACATTACAACCTGTATTTCTGTATAACCTTTGTTTCTGTGTACACACACTAAAAAAATCCCTGCTTTGTGCATATAAATAAGAACAAAGATGTTCACTGAAGTTTCCTATTAAAAAATTTGGAAATTTTAAGACATAATTTTAAAGCCTAATAACTATCAGTAGGGGAATGGCTAAAGAATATGTATATAACTTCATAAAATACAATAATCAAAAGTAGTTCAAAACTAATTAACATTGTATATAGCTATATGCATGTAATCTCAAAACATTACTGCATGGAGAAAAAATTACCAAGTAAGAAATATAACTAACATAAAAATTCACTCTTTATTTTAACACAGGAAAAAATCCTCTACATATATATGTGCAAAAATATGGAAAAGATCTGGAAGAATGAACTCCAAATTCCTAACAGATTATAGAGTAATGGTCAAAGGGGTTTTATCTGTAATACTCTAATTCCTTAAAAAGAATATATGAATATATGAGTTGCACAATTTAGAAAATACTTAGAATGTACAAATTTCCTAACTGGAATATTGGTAATATCCTATGACTCTCTGGACAGATCCCAGGATATTTTGTCCAAGCTACAAAGTACTGATGTGCACTGGACCACCTCCATAAAAGGAGTTTGGTAATAGATAAAAAGGTATTATCATGTGATGGAAATCAGATCATAATGATATCTTCTATATTTTAATTTTGGCAAAAGTATAATCAGAAAATTATAATAATTCTATAGTGGTATTCTTCAGTGGTATAACCAAGAAAGAAAGTTTTAAGAGTATTGTATCTCCTTTTTCTTTATTGCCTAGCACTTCTAGTGAAAAGAAAGCAAACGCATGGCATCAAAGTCAAACTAAATGAAATTTACAAGAGTACTATTTTTGGCTGTGCTGTTTAAAAAATTATTGGAACTGTAATTTAATGAAAGCATACATGTGCAATTGTCAAAGGTCTGATTTTATATCTTAATAGAAAGAATAAAGTCTTCCAGAATAGAAGAAAATAAACACTCAGTACCTTTAAGACCTTATTTTTCTTGTTTAAATTATTTGTCCATTCTCCACAGGATATTTAAACATTATGCCCACATGTTAAGAAATTTGAGTAAAAAGGGAAGTAATAAAGAGCTAGAAAATAGTTACCTTCCTAAGTTTGATATAAATAATTTTAGCTTACCTCTCTATTATAATAATTTAAAAATCATATTTCACAATAATTTTTTACTTTATTTATAGATATAAGTCTATAAATTCTACCATTCAATAGTAGTTCTTCCAAGTTATCAGGATTTCGAGCAAGCTGTAGAATCAAAGCAGAACCCCGAACCTTGTCAGGAATATCTTCATATAATAACTCAATGTACTCATCCATGTCATTAATGTTAGCAACTTCATCAATCTGAAACAAAGGAAGAGGAAGGAAGTACTCTAAAAGAACAGAAGCACTCAACAGAGTGAGTGATATTTTGGGATCAATACACTGCCCTTGATAATGAGACAAGTTTTCAAAGGACTCATAGTAGCAATCTTTTTGTACACAGTAGCAATTTTTTTGTACAGGGAGAGACTGATTAGATCTTTGGGTGATGGAACTTCAATATGAAAACAGTCATAAACCATATGATAAAAACGGGATGAACACAAACTCTAAAACTGGCCTATTTATATTAATAAAGTATCTTAAATGTAATTTAAAATAGTATCTACCATAATATATTAAACAATATTTTAAAACACACTGCAATAAGAATAGCTAATACTTTTCACAACTTATCAAAATAGACTGTCTAAAAAACACACACCCAATAATTTTTTCCTGTATTAAATATTTGTTTTCTATCTTTTTTGGGAACTTTTAAGTTCAACCATTTCTAAAAATTTCACACTTGTCTAATATAACTGTATGAACTATTGACGGTAAAAGCATTACCTTACAATCAGTTCTCTATCAGATAAAAATACAGTCTTACCTCCATTCCTTCAAAAGGAGGTGGATCTTTAGGTTTGCTTGACTTCTCTTTTTTTTCTGTAAAAAGATTTTGTTTTAATGAGAATAACCAGGATTTTGGATTTCTGGCTAATTTTTACTTTCAGCAGCTGAGTTTAATTCTAGCCAAACTGGGGATCTTAAAATGAGTAATTTATAAGGTAATATTTTTCCAATGTATAAAAAATGCTCATCTATAATACATTTGTTCTAATGAGGATATCCAGGAGAGTTTAATAAAATCTATAAATAATCTCCAAGTCATGTTAGGTAGCAATTTAGCTTCCTCCTTGTTTAACAGTTAGGTATGTAAATAGCCAGACTTGCCAACAAGAAGCAAAAAGTCTATTTTAAGTTTTCTTTTTTATCCTAATTCACATTTAAGGAGAGAATAGGAAAATCAAAAATGAATGAACTAGGTAATAAAAGACTAAAATTAAAATTAACAAAGAAAATGGAAAAGAAAGAACCTGGGTAAAGTTAAGAAGCTAAAATACAGTTGCTGATTTTTTAAACAAAATTAGGACCATAAATTAAAAGGCAAATATTTAATATTTGTGCTAATTTAATCCTCACTTGCTCCCAAATGGATTAGAGAGGCATTAATGGTGCTGAACATAACTTTGAGTCATTTGTTATGTTGAATTATTTGACTAATAGCAGAACTTCATATTCTTAAAAGAAAATGTAAAAAATGCTTCACTGATCTGAGTCTGGATCAAAAATCTAAGCAATGACTGTACATTAAAATAAGTTCAAGTAATATTAAATTTTTGATTCTAAAATTACTTTTGGACTCTGTGGGAGAAGGCGAGGGTGGGATGTTTTGAGAGAACAGCATGAATATTATCTATAGTGAAACAGATCACCAGCCCAGGTGGGATGCATGAGACAAGTGCTCGGGCCAGGTGCACTGGGAAGATCCAGAGGAATCGGGTGGAGAGGGAGGTGGGAGAGGGGATCAGGATGGGGAATACATGTAATTCCATGGCTAATTCATGTCAATGTATGACAAAACCCACTGCAATGTTGTGAAGTAATTAGCCTCAAACTAATAAAAATAAATGGAAAAAAATAAAAAATAAAATAAAATTAGCAAATGCTTTACATATAACAGGAACTAATCCTGATTGTTTTTGGAGGAAGGTAGCCATTCTAAACAAAGTTATGTTTTCTCAACAGCTAGATTTTTCTTCAAACAGATAACTTAATACAACAATAGTTTTAATAAATAAAGAAAAAAAGACTTGGTAAAGAATCACATAATCAAAAACTACTATAATTTTATTTCAACCACCTTTAGGGCTAGGTTTCTGGCTTTGAAATAGTGAATATCAAGTAAAAAGAAAGAACATAGAATCATTTCTAAAAATAAATGTAGATACACTACAGCATAGCATTTCATATATGTCTCCAAACATCAGTATCAATATAGAGAAACAATGATTTTAATTTATGATAATGTGGAAATTTCCTCATATTACTCTAATTTCTGGGGAAGGACGTAAGAAGACTGATTTACCTTGAAAACTCAGTGAAAGGGTTCTCATTAAAGATATTTCGTTATTTTATTACAACTGTCCTCAGAATTATATTAATTTAGCATTAAGAAAGATTAATTTTAACTACATTATACAACCTACAGTAAGTACATACACATCTTAAAAGCACAGGATTTACTTTTCTCACTTTGAACTTAGTTTATTGAAGATACTATCTCTTATCATCCAGTAACACTGTTACAGAAATAGTCTATCACAAAGTAAAAATTTTTAATAATATTTTCCTTATAGCACTTATTATTAATAATTAATAGGTATATACAGCTAAGTAGTTGGAGTTGAATGTCAGCTAAGCAGTTGGAAACAATCAAGTTTGAAATGCTTATTTTTGCTTTTGAATAAATTCACAGCTATTCAATTCATTCAACAAATATATATTGATCATATAATGTGTGCTATATACTGTATACAAGGCTAACTAATAAAAGTACATATTAGGCACAAGGCATTTTATTTGCTATGGATGGAGAGAAACAACTGCTTAATTTTTTAAAAACTGCAAATAAATTTTCTCTTTCATTTTGTCTACTCAATACAATCAAAACTGAAGTATAAGCTATGTCAAGGGTGCCATATTCTAGAACTCATAATGATAAAAGAAAGATATATGTAAACTTAATAAGTGAAGTGAAGTGGAAGTCGCTCAGTCATGTCCGACTCTTTGCGACACCATGGACTATCCATTAATAAATACTACGAAATGGAATAAGTAACCACTGATTAATCTGAGATAACTTTCCATTTAAATACCTGTACTTTTGTTTTGAGCTTGGACATTGGAAAATGTCTTCTATAAATAATCATTACTTAGCTCTAATTTTAATGAATTTATTCTTTTATGAGGCAATTAAAGATAGAATAGTAACAATAGAGATGTTTAGGAATGAAAAGGTAAGTTTTCCTAAGAAAGATTCATAAAACATATGCATATCACAAATATTTTAACATTTAAATACTTCAATAATCCAAATTATCAATTAATTGTCAATAAGAAATATAGAAAATATAAATAAGTTGCTTGGATGGGGAAAACAGGTTTCCAGGCCTCAATTCTCCCCTTTTATTATTCCAGAATCAATATGATAGATATTTGCTTTTATTCCTTATTTTAGCACATGTGTGTGCACACGCACGCGTGCGCGCGCACACACACACACACACACACACACACAATATAAAATAGATCATTTTGGAAGCCTGGAATGTAGGAAACCAGTATGTTTGTTTATTCTTTCATTCACTTAGTCATAGCACTAACAATAACAACAAAAAAAACCATCACCTTTCAAATATCAAAAGTACAAACTATAGTCAAACAACTTTTGTTTTGTTTTTTCATTTTTAAATTAATTTATTTGTTTTAATTGGAGGCTAATTACTTACAATATTGTGGTGGTTTTTGCTATGGTTTTGCGTTAAAAAGTTAGCTGTTCTTTTACTTACCTTTTCCTGACACTGAATCACGGCGGTTCTGGAGATAGTACAACAGCTGTTCTACTTCATTTAGCTTTGAGGGATGAATGAGTTTACATTCCTCAACCACTTTCCGTGCCAGGGAAGTGATATCTGTGTTGGCATTGAGACTCTTAAGACGGATGCTGCAGGCAAATCAGAATTTTCCAACTCAGTTATTATTAAAGTAACAATTTAAATAATACTTCTTTTAAATAATTAATTTATAAAACATTTAAATGTACCTGACATAGTCTCTTTTGGTAACATATAATAAAGCATAAGATATAGCCTGACTTAGAAAAAAATGCAAAACAATGATTTTCCTCAAATTGGACAAATGAGATAACAAAAGGAATGGTAAAGTCTACATTTGATTCATCTAGGTAGGATAGCACATCCAGAGACCAGTTTTAAAACAGTCTTTCTGATGTCATATATATATATTTACATTATAGAAAGTTTTCAGTTATTATTAGATATGAAAATCCATAGTGACATAAATAAATCATTTTCTTGACCATATTCACAGTCAAAGTTTTCTGTTAAGGACAGAACACAATATTAACATATTCAGATTTGATTATTCTGATAGAAATTATGCAGAAGAAAAAGAAAAGTAGGATGCATTTTAGAACTTATATAAGGAATGCTGAGGAACAAATGAATATAGTTATATTTGTTAGTACATTAAAAAAAATAAAACAGGTTCTTGCTCCTTTTTAATTTAGTCCAGGAGATTCACTGCAAGATGAGTAAGAAAAGGTTGTTCAAAATCTAGAAACAACTGCCAATTTACACGGATTCATGACACCAAAAAGAGCTGTAAGGACAAAAAATTAGGTTCAGGGTGAAGACTCAAACTGGTGGCAAAAGACTCTTGCAAGCAGACGCACTTATGCAAGGCTTAGATTCAAAAAGAGAAACCTAAGAAAGTAGCCACCATGCTGAAATACTTCTTAGTGAAGACGGCTAGTGAAGATGGCTTAGTGAAAAGGCAGAGGAATCAGAGATCAAACTGCCAACATTTGTTGTATCACTGAAAAAGCGAGAGTTCCAAAGAAACATCTACTTCTGCTTTATTGACTAAGCTAAAGCCTTTGACTGTATGGATCACAACAAAATGTAGAAAATTCTTCAAGAGATGGGAATACCAGACAACCTGACCTGCCTCTTGAGAAATCTGTATGCAGGTCAAGAAGCAACAGTTAGAACTGGACACGGAACAACAGACTGGTTCCAAATAGGGAAAGGAGTACATCAAGGCTGTATATTGCCACCCTGTTTATTTAACTTATATGCAGAGTATATCATGAGAAATGCTAGCCTGGATAAAGCACAAGCTGGAATCAATACTGCCAGGAGAAATATCAATAACTTCAGATATGCAGATGACATCACAGTTCAGTTCAGTCGCTCAGTTGTGTCCAACTCTCTGCAATCTCATGGACCGCAGCATGCCAGGCCTCCCTGTCCATCACCAACTCCCAAAGTTTACTCAAAGTCATGTCCATTGAGTTGGTGATGCCATCCAACCATCTCATCATCTGTCATTCCCTTCTCTTCCCACCTTCAATCCTTCCCAGCTTCAGGGTCTTTTCAAATGAGTCAGTTTTTCTCATCAGGTGGCCAAAGTATTGGAGCTTCAGCTTCAGCATCAGTCCTTCCAATGAATATTCAGGACTGATACCACACTCACGGCATAAAGAGAAGAAGAACTGAAGAGCCTTTTGATGAAAGTGAAAAAGGAGAGTGAAAAAGTTGGTTTAAAACTCAACATTCAGAAAACTAAGATCATGGCATCTGGTCCCATTACTTCATGGGAAATAGAAGGGGAAACAATGGAAACAGTGAGACACTTTACTTTTGGGGGCTCCAAAATCACTATAGATGGTGACTGCAACCATGAAATTATAAGATGCTTACTCCTTGGAAGAAAAGTTATTCACAACCTAGACAGCATATTAAAAAGCAGAGACATTATTTTGCCAACAAAGGTCCATCTAGTCAAAGCTATGATTTTTCCAGTAGTCATGTATGGATGTGGCAATTGGACTACAAAGAAAGCTGAGCACTGAAGAATTGATGCTTTTGAACCATGGTGTTGGAGAAGACTCTTGAGAGTCCCTTGGACAGAAAGGAGATCAAACCAGTCCATCCTAAAGGAAATCAGTCCTGAATATTCATTGGAAGGACTGATACTAAAGCTGAAACTCCAATACTTTGGCCACTTGATGCGAAGAACTGACTCATTGGAAAAGACCCTGATGCTGGGAGGAATTGGGGGCAGGAGGAGAAGGGGACAACAGAGGATGAGATGGTTGGATGACATTCTCGACTCAATGGACATGAGTTTGAGTAAACTCCAGGAGTTGGTGACAGACAGGGAAGCCTGGTGTGCTTCAGTCCATAAGGTCGCAAAGAGTCGGACACGACTAAGCGAATGAACTGAAGATGGCTAAGTTTGGGAGAGACTGAAGATATTAAAAGGCAACAGGGATAGAGACCTTAGAAAAATGTCCTGCACTCAGCATCTTTGAAGTCATTATTCAGATACAGATGCTCTCTCCTGAAAGAAGTCTAGTAAAGTGATTTGAATATTATTCCCAGTTATACAGTCATCCCCAAATCTGGTCCTCCTGGGATTCTATAAGCTACCGTATAGCTTTCAATACATTCCTTTTATGCTTGACTTTGCTGGTGAGGTTTCTATTGTCTGCAACAAGAATCCTAGCAGTACTGTGTCTCTTTATTTTAGTTTTTCTCTAAAAAAATTTTCATTAAACCAAAACTTTTTATTAAACCAAACATTTGGTTTTTTAAGTTCCTACCTTTTAAGTCTTTTAAACTACTGAATATTTTTGTATAATTTTAGCTGCACATCAGAAAGTAGAAATATAAATGAGAACTCATTCTGAGAAAAACTCTCAAAAGACCTCTCCATGTTTAATTTTAACAAGAAACTGGAAAATCTTGAGTTTCCATAAATCTGATTGAGAACAGGCACAACAGAAATTCTATAAATATAATTTTGGAAATTTTCTAATTAGTCTCTTTTAGAAGAGTTTTAGATTTACAGAAAAATAGTACAGAAAGTACAGTTACCATGTATGTCTCCACTAGAAAGTGAAGTTGCTCAGTCGTGTCCGACTCTTTGCGACCCCGTGGACTGTAGCCTACCAGGCTCCTCCGTCCATGGGATTCTCCAGGCAAGAATACTGGAGTGGGTTACCATTTCCTTCTCCAGGGGATCTTCCCAACCCAGGGATTGAACCCGAGTCTCCCGCATTGGAGGCAGACGCTTTAACTTCTGAGCCACCAGGGAAGCCCATGTCCCCACTACCCTCCCTCAATACAGTTTCTTCTATTATTGCCATCTTGTGATAACTTTGTCATAAGTGATGAATCATTTTGATATACTATTTACTAAAGTATACAGTTTACATTAGGGTTCAGTCTGTAGTGTATAGTTCTGTGGGCTTGAATAAATGCCTAATTTCATGTATCTATCATTAAAGTATCACACAAAATAGTTTCAACTACCCTAAAAATGCCCTGTGCTCCACATATTCTTCCCTTCCCCACGGCATAACCCCTAACAACTTCTAATCTACTTTTACTTCAGTTTTGCCTTTTCTAGGTGGTCATAGAGTTAGAATCATACAACATATAACTTTTTCAGTCTGGCTTCTTTCATTTAGTAATATACATTTAGGTTCTTCTATGTCTTCTCCTAGCTTGATGGTTGATTTCTTTTAGTGCTGAATAATACTTGACTATATGGATGCAACATGGTTTGCTTACTCTTTTGCCTACTGAAGGATATTTTGGTTGCTTCCAACTGTTGACAGTTATAAAGCTGCTATTAAGATTCATGTGCAGATTTCTGTGTGGAGATAAATTTTCAACTCATTTTGGGTTAATATCTAAGAGCAAAACTGTTGGATCATATGGTAAGTGTATGTTTAGCTTTGAAAGAAACTGCCAAAATGCCTTCCAAAGTAGCTGTTCCATTTTATATTTTCATTAGCAATGAGTGAGTTTCTGTTGTTCTACATCCTTACCAGCGTCTAGTGCTACCAGTGTTTTAGACTTCAAACATTAAATAGGTCTGTAATAGTATTTTGATTTAATAAAGCGGACCTTTTAAAATCATTTTAGGTTTATTTTCTACTATATATATATAAACAATCTAATTCAACATCATCTTTCCAAGTAATAGAAAAACTCTCTTCTCTTAGTGTGTACATTTTTGTCCTAAATCCTTCCCTTATTAGAAGAGACAAAATACACACACACATATATATATATATATATATATATGACTAGGGTTTAATGTCAAATATATATGACTAGCTGTGTGTTTACTGATTATTTCTTTAATCAAAAAACATAATCTTCATTAGGCATTCCATGTCTATTAAGAACACAAACAACTCACCAAAAATGTGCATATTATTTTCAGATCCTAACCGTAGGTTTCTCAGAAATATTCAGAAAACAGGGATTCTGTTGAAGGTGGGCTTATATATTCCTTTATCCAATAAGGGAAAACGAAATACATCTTTTGGAGCTGAATCATAGCACTGACTGCCACTATATTCAATGAAATTTAATGATGACTTAATTTCACATCTATCTCAATCTATATGAGTTTCTCCCTCAAAATCCTCACCCTAGCCACCATCCTTGATAAATCCTCTTGAACTATTAACAAACCATATTCTCCTTTTGGTCTCACGATATGACTCCTCTCCAAATCTTGAGTGACCAAGGATGACTATCACAAAGTTGGGTTACAGAGGTTTTTTTCCTTACTGATGTTTAAGGTACTATAAACAGTCTATAGTCAGTCTATAGTAACTCTTTCCAGGTGGCTGACTCTCTAGTGAATATATCCCTTGTCTTGAGAGCCTACAGATTTTCAAACAACAACAACATTCTCACTTATTCTCATTCCAAATAACAACAACCAATTCTCACTGGTTGAATAAGACTACTACTACACTCAGTTCAGTCAGTTCAGTCGCTCAATTGTGTCCGACTCTTTGTGACCCCATGAATTGCAGCGTGCCAGGCCTCTCTGTCCATCACCAACTCCTGGAGTTTACTCAAACTCATGTCCATTGAGTCGGTGATGCCATCCATCCATCTCATCCTCTGTCGTCTCCTTCTCCTCCTGTCCCCAATCCCTCCCGGCATCAGGGTCTTTTCCATTGAATCAACTCTTCGCATAAGGTGGCCAAAGTACTAGAGTTTCAGCTTCAGCATCAGTCCTTCCAATGAACACCCAGGACTGATCTCCTTCAAGACGGACTGGTTGGATCTCCTTGCAGTCCAAGGGACTCTCAAGAGTCTTCTCCAACACCACAGTTCAAAAGCATCAATTCTTCAGCGCTCAGCTTTCTTCACAGTCCCTCTCACATCTATACATGACCACTGGAAAAACCATAGCCTTGACTAGTTAGACCTTTGTTGGCAAAGTAATATGTCTGCTTTTTAATATGCTATCTAGATTGGTCATAACTTTCCTTCCAAGGAGTAAGCGTCTTTTAATTTCATGGCTGCAATCACCATCTGCAGTGATTTTGGAGCCCCCCCCCCAAAAAAAACCAGTCTGACACTGTTTCCACTGTTTCCCCATCTACTTCCCATGAAGTGATGGGACCAGATGCTATGATCTGTTTTCTGAATGTTGAGCTTTAAGCCAACTTTTTCACTCTCTTCTTTCACATTCATCAAGAGGCTTTCTAGTTCCTCTTCACTTTCTGCTATAAGGGTGGTGTCATCTGCATATCTGAGGTTATTGATATTTCTCCTGGCAATTTTTTTAAAATTTATTTTTATTAGTTGGAGGCTAATTACTTTACAATATTGTAGTGGTTTTTGCCATACATTGACATGAATCAGCCATGGATTTACATGTGTTCCCCATCCCGATCGCCCCTCCTGTCTCCCTCCCCATCCAATCCCTTCTCCTAGCAATCTTGATTCCAGCTTGTGCTTCTTCCAGCCCAGCCTTTCTCATGCTGTACTCTGCATATAAGTTAAATAAGCAGGGTGACAATATACAGCCCTTAACATACTCCTTTTCTATTTGGAACCAGTCTGTTGTTCCATGTCCAGTTCTAACTGTTGCTTCCTGACCTGCATACAGGTTTCTCAAGAGGCAGGTCAGGTGGTCTGGTATGCCGATCTCTTTCAGAATTGTCCACAGTTTACTGTGATCCACATAGTCAAAGGCTTTGGCATAGTTAATAAAGCAGAAATAGATGTTTTTCTGGAACTCTCTTGCTTTTTCAATGATCCAACAGATGTTGGCAATTTGATCTCTGGTTCCTCTGCTTTTTCTAAAACTACCACACTACTAAGAAACTAAAATCTAAATTTAACTTATGAAATGTGGATGCATGAGGTTCTAAAGGCAAAGACCCCTAATCTGCTAGCTTTTCTTTGGAAATCAAATGAATAAAAATATCAAGAGATTTCACATTTTTTCAATATGCATAAAATTTAGGCAGCAAACACACAAATGGGAGACAGTGTGACAGAATACAAAAAACTGAGCATGTGAGTTAAAATCTACAGCATTAAGTATGTGTGTATACATATGTGTACCTCTTCAGTCTAGTGGATTATCTCAGGATTTGTTTATTTTTAAAGAATTATCTATGAAATTTAGTGTCCTAACCCAAATAAGAAGAAAGACTAGAGATCTTAAGACAGTAGGTAGCTTCTCTTTTCAAGCTGCTGTGCAATAAAGTTTCTTAACTGAAGCACAATTAAAGTTTGGGGTCAAATAGTTTTTTCTTAGTAGGTGGCTATTTTGTGCATAGCAGATGCTTAGCAGCACCTCAGCCTCTATCCACTAGATAACAATAGCACCTTCCAGTATGACAACCAAAATGTTCCCTGAGGAAAAAATTCTAACCAGTTGAGGACCACTGCTATGCATTTAAACTGCAGTGCTTCTCAGTGAGCTAAATAATATCACATGCACTCCTAGTATCCTGACTATACTTAACTACATTATATTCTACACTATGTACTTAATCACTGAATATACCAAAACATACTAACTTTTTAATTAATTCCCAAGTCCAATATTTTTCTGCAGGGAAGAAAGTTGGGAAACAATATTAGGTGATCTCAGACCCTTTCTATTTCCACAAAATTATGGCAGGAGTGCAAGATCATTGCCAGCACAATTGAAGATAATGAAAAAGGCCAGTTCCCAAGGGACTCCTGAAAGTTCTACAAAAGCAGAAAGGAAAGTGTGAAGAAACTGGGAGATCTAAGGTCAATTCACTGAGTCAGAAAGCACTTGTCCTACTATTAACATCTTTCAGAGGTCTGGATTTTTAAGGGATGAATTCAAGGTACATGTCCCATTTCTGAATTCTAGAATTCATGTAACTTTCTGTAATTTCAGGGAAGAAAGAACAATATGGTATCAGCTAAAATATAAACTTGCTAAATTAGGCTAAAATGTCTAATATAAACATATCTCTTATAATTGATTTCACAAGTCATATTCTATTATATGCATTTACTAAATGGGATTAATAAGAACAGGCATTTTTCATTAGGTTCCAATTAAGTTCATAAACATGATTTTCTCTGGAATATACTCTGTATTTATGGTTTAATATAGTCTGCTTCACTAAGATAATGTAGGCTGAGAAGAATGCCATAGTCACTCATTATCTACGCAAATTTAAATAATATCAGATTTCTACAAACTACGTACAAGGTTTACTACTTTCAAATATGCACAAGTGAAGAAAACTTACATTTTTTGGCATTCCTTTCGTTCTCCCAACATGGGATCTCCCGTTTCTCCAAGAATGGTAGCTTCCACTTCATATTGAACAATAAGTGCTTTTTCAGATGGATGTACATCAATATTTCCTCCTTTAACTTTCCTATAAAAGAAAAACAGGCATAGCTACATTAAAAGCTCACAAAACATAGAAGGTGTTTATCTAGTTCCTAGTTCCAAAAGCATGTGTGTTGGATTAACACATGCATTTAAATCAGATTTACTCTTAACTTGGGCCAAGAAATAACTCTTTTTCTCCAATTTTATAAACTCTATGTTATACATATAATTCTTGGTCTTGCAGAAAGTACCTTTATGAAGAGCTCTGAAAAAAAATACATTTACCCAAAGAATCATGCATAATAGCCACTGAATAAAAAACAAAATTAAGATGGTTTTGGAGAGAATAACCTCAACTGAAAGTCAGCAATCTAAAACCAAAGGCAGCTGCCCCAAAATTTATATTAAAAAAAAAACAAAACCTGCTCAATAGTTAACCCATTAACTGTATCACAGAATGACATGAAGAAATTATCCAAATTGCAAAATAATACTGTTATCAATTAACATAATTATATAAATTGAATTAGTACCTAAATCATGCATAAATTGTGTAACAAAAGAGAATTTACAGGTTATATTCTATAGTCACATGCCCAGAATTATAGTGACATTAGCAAGCTATAATTCCTGTGCTGTACATTACATCCTTGCCACTTACTGTAAGTTGTTTGTACCTACTAATTCCCTTCATCTATTTTGGCTCTCCTCTCACACTTCTCCCCTCTGGTGACCACTAGTTTATCTGTATCCTCAGTGTCTGTTTTTATGTTGTTATACTTGTTCATTCGTTTTATTTTATATTCTACCTATAAGTGAAAACATACAGTATTTGTCTTTCTCTGCCTTATTTCACTAATCATAATATCTTCCAGGTCCATATATGTTCTCACAATGATGAATTAATCACTATTTGTTACTGGTCACTTTAGCAGCTGATAAAACAAGTTTTATTAAAAGAGACTGAAGAGACTGCAATAGAAGCAAGTAAAATTTCTCACTGTAATCAGAGCTGGTTATCTGCATGGTGGGATCTTTTAGCCTAATGGGAAGGAAGAGAACTATGACAACATCTTAAATTCCAATAATCAGAAACTCAAAGCTTTTTCTTGAGTAGGATTAATTGGCTTATTATGCATACTTCAATGTAATTTTAAAGTAATTTTTCACTTCAGTTCAGCAACCCCAGTACTGAACTTAAACAGGAGGGGGTAACTATATTCAACTGAAGAGAATCATAAGGATAAAACATAATTGCAGATCCTAAGAACAACCTCATACTACACTTTCAAAGTGGGTCTTCTACATATTAACAACTGACACAAAAGCATAATGGTTTTCCTTTGGTTTGATATTTTGCCTTTCCCAAGGAAATCAAATAGCTGAAAGAACGTCACTATTCCTTTTCAGTTTGGGGGGTTTCTTTTGTACATGGATTTTAAAGAAACTAATTAATTTTATTTATTTCTTTACCACTAGTACAATTTGTTTACTGTAGAGAAAAACAAAACACAAACTAGCAAACAGAAAAAATAAACCAAAAAAAACAGGAAAAACCAATTGTTACGATTTTAGCACATATACATCCAGATATTTTCCTATCTAAATGTAAATAACATATAACCAGAGAATGTTAGCTCTAGAATTTCCTTAAAGAAAAGGCTTAAGGTAGCAATTTGGTAGGGCTGAAAGTATATTTTAACAGCAACTGACATAAGATTGATACAAGTACTAACTGTTTCTATCAACATGAGGGCTGATGGAGATTATGGGTATGATAAACTTCTCCCCTGTTCCCCTTTGCACTACTGATGAATATATAAAATACACATATTACAAGCTAAGTTCATGTTATAAACAGTGTGTATTAAAAATACATTAACAATTTACCATAGGACTTCCCCAGTGGCGAAGTGGGTAAGAATCTGCCTCCCGATGCAGGGAACACGGGTCAGACTCCTGATCTGAGATCCCACATGCTGTGGAGGAACTAAGCCTGTGCGCCACAACTACTGAAAGTGAACACTCTAGAGCCCACGGGCCCAACTCCTGAAGGCCATGTGCCCTAGAGCCAGCAACCCGCAATCACTAAGCCCACGCTTCAGCTAATGCAGTCCGAGCGCTGAGAACCTGCGCACCGCCACCAAGAGAAGCCACTGCACTGAGAAGCCTGTATATTACAACTGGAGAAACGTCCTCGCTCGTCTCAACTAGAGAAAGCCCGCGCGTAGCAATAAAGACCCAGTGCAGCCGTAAGTAAATAAAAAAAAAAAAAACCTTGTCTTTAATACTTCATATACTCAAATACCAGATATCCCCATTTGTTGAACACCTTGATTCTTTATTTCTAACTTACACTGCACAAAATTTACAGGATTCCCTCACAAAACAGTCAAAACCACTGCAGTACACTTGGCTGATTTACAAAGTAGTTTTTCTAAAGGTTCAAAATATTTTATAATTCAGTCACTCTGTATTTATGCATGATATAAACATTTTTCAATTGATGACCATAGTTTCAAATTCTATTTTGGTTAGTAAAATATTCCAGCTTGTTTGGGCAAAATCAAGAATTATGTCTATAAGTAATTTGCTTTTACCATAGCAATGCGCCTCATCAAAATATATACTTGTATTATCACCATAAAATGAATAATTTTATCTTAAATGCAAACTTCCAAACTGAATTTAACATGTCATTCATAATGATGACAGATATTTAACAATCAAGAGAATGAACTTCCAAATACTTGGAATTCATCAATCAGTGAGAAATAATTTAGCCCATTATTGGAATTACCTGATTTACTATTTGTAACATCTAAAGCAGCTCTATACAGTCAACAACAACAACAAAAAAAAGACCAGGAGCTGACTATGGCTCAGATCATGAGCTCCTTATTGCCAAATTCAGACTTAAACTGAAGAAAGTAGGGAAAACCACCAGACCATTCATTTAGGTATGACCTAAATCAAATCCCATACAAATATACAGTGGAAGTGACAAATAGATTCAAGGGATTAGATCTGACAGACAGAGTGCCTGAAGAACTATGAATGGAGGTTTGTGAGACTGTACAGGAGGCAGTGATCAAAACCATCCCCAAGAAAAACAAATGCAAAAAGGCAAAATGATTGTCTGAGGAGGCCTTACAAATAGCTGAGAAAAGAAGAGAAAGAAACTAAAGGCAAAGAAGAAAAGCAAAGATACACCCATCTGAATGCAGAGTTCCAAAGAAAAGCAAGGAGTGAAAAGAAAGCCTTTCTCAGCGATCAATGCAAAGAAATAGAGGAAAACAACAGAATGGGAAAGACAAGAGATCTCTTCAAGAAAATTAGAGCTGCCAAAGGAACATGTCATGCAAAGATGGGCACAATAAAGTACAGAAGCCGTATGTATCTAACAGAAGCAGAAAATATTAAGAAGAGGTGGCAAAAATACACAGAATAACTATACAAAAATGATCTTCATGACCCAGATAATCATGATGGTGTGATCACTCACCTAGAGCCAGACATCCTGGAATGGGACGTCAAGTGGGCCTTAGGAAGCATCACCACGAACAAAGCTAATAGAGGTGATGGAATTTCAGTTGAGTGTTTCAAATCCTAAAAGATGATGCTGTTAAAGTGCTGTACTCAATATGCCAGCAAATTTGGAAAACTCAGCAGCGGCCACAGGACTGGAAAAGGTCAGTTTTCATTACAATTCCCAAGAAAGGCAAGGCCAAAGAATGTTCAACCTACCACACAATTGTACTCATCTCACAAGTTAAAAATGCTCAAAATTCTCCAAGCCAGGCTTCAGAGTACATGAATCGTGAATTTCCAGATATTCAAACTGGATTTAGAAAAGGCAGAGGAACCAGAGATCAAATTCCCAACATCTGTTAGCTCATCAAAAAAGCAACAGAGTTCCAGAAAAACATTTACTTGCGCTTTATTGACTACATCAAAGCCTTTGACTGTGTGGATTACAACAAAATATAGAAAATTCTTCAAGAAATGGGAATACCAGACCATCTTACCTGCCACCTGAGAAATCTGTATGCAGGTCAAGAAGCAACAGTTAGAACTGGACATGAAATAACAACTGGTTTCAAATAGGGAAAGGAGTATGTCAAGGCTGTATACTGTCACCCTGCTTATTTAACTTATATGCAGAGTACATCATGCAAAATGCTGGGCTGGATGAAGCACAAGCTAGAATCAAGATAGCCAGGAGAAATACCAATAACTTCAAATACACAGATGACACCACCCTTATGGCAGAAAGTGAAGAACTAAAGAGCCTCTTGATGAAAGTGAAAAAGGAGAGTGAAAAAAGTTGGCTTAAAACTCAACATTCAAAAAACTAAGATCATGGCATCTAGTCCCATCACTCATGGTAAATAGATGGGGAAATGATGCAAACAGTGAGAGAATTTCCTTTTTGGGGTTCCAAAATCACTGCAGATGGTGACTGCTGCCATGAAATTATAAGATGCTTGCTCCTTGGAAGAAAAGTTATTCCCAACCTAGATAGCATATTAAAAAGCAGAGACACTGCTTTGCCAACAAAGGTCCATCTAGTCAAGGCTATGGTTTTTCCAGTAGTCATGTATGGATGTGAGGGTTGGACTGTGAAGAAAGCTGAGCGTCAAAGAACTGATGCTTTTGAACCACGGTGTTGAAGAAAACTCTTGAGATTCCTTTGGACAGCAAGGAGATCCAACCAGTCCATCCTAAATGAAATCAGTCCTCAATATTCATTGGAAGGACTGATGCTGAAGCTGAAACTCCAATACTTTGGCCACCTGATGCAAAGAGCTGACTCATTTGAAAAGACCCTGATGCTGGGAAGGATTGAGGGCGGGAGGAGAAGGGGACGACAGAGGATGAGATGGTGGGATGGCAATACCGACTTGATGGACATGAGTTTGAGCAAGCTCCGGGAGTTGGTGATGGACAGGGAAGCCTGGTGTGCTTCAGTCCATGAGGTTGCAAAGAGTCGGACATGACTGAGTGACTGAACTGAACTGATGACACTGATATTAAACTGAT